TTATGATGTCTGTTTTTATTAATTCATGCAATTAGGTAAAGAAACCCCTAAACCTAAAAGTAAACATAGATTAGAAAAGTGACAAAAAGAGGGCGACGGTGGCCCTGAAATTGGTGATTTTTTGATGACCGATCAGTTGGCCAATTATTCGTTTGATTAAAAAAAAATAAAAAAAATAATTATTGTATGTTAAATGAATAATATTTTGTTTGTTTTTTGTTTGTAATATTAAAATATTTGTGTTCATTATTTGACTTGAATAATCAAAATGGGGTGCGTCATTTACATGTTTGTAGCAGAGGCACTTTCCCCCAAATAAAATAACGAGAAGAGATTATTCTTAACGTTGTCTTCTTGGTTAATATTTCGGGGGCCGCGGTGTTACTGACTTTGCGAATGACTAATAAATCAATTAGTTGTTTGATCCTAAATCTCTCATTTGACCAAAACAAGCCCTGGAGAGCATATATGTAGAGATGACATTTTTATTTGATTCTGCAGCAATCATATAATTAAAAACTGGTTCTGCTGCAGTTTAAGTTTATGGAAAAATCAAAAGCTTACAACTACATCAAGAATCGATTAGTAAATACATTTTCAATAGAAGAATCATTAAAGTCACACAAGAGGCCCATAACCCAGAGGATGTTGCTTCAGGCGAGGCAGAGCAGGATTTTTTAAAGACAATTAGTATAAGTTAGAAATGAATAATTAACATGTTTCAGATTCCACCTTCATCAGAGGTCACATGTGACGGTGGGAGGTGTCTCTGATCAGCTGTTGTTAAAGAAGACATCATGAACTTTCTACATTTAATTGGTTTTAGTCGAGCCAAAAGAAACACACTTTTTCTTTAGTTGATTTACTGTCTGAGGGAGAGATGAACTGTAGAAAAGTAACACATTGCAATGAGTGCTTGTACATAACATAACATTAAACATGGTAGTATTCAGCAGCTGTGAAACACTAAGCACTTTTGAAGCAGCTGATACAAGTCCATTTAAAACCACTTCTCATTTATTTTTAGCTGCATTTCTTTAAACACGGCTTTCAAAACGTGCTCAAACCCACGATCAATGTCATAAGAACGCTGTTACGAGCTGAATGAGTGTTCTCTGCATAACAAATCTTGAATATACTAACAAGTTTACATTCTGAGAGCTGATTGGCTGAGTGAGGGTAGCTGTGAAAAGCTCATCAGAATATACATGCACGTGAAAGAACTAATAGAACAATTTTGAGAGTGAGGTAAAAGTTGCATTAATGATATTATCAGTGTAAAAAATTGTGTTTTGAGAGTGAAGTTCCCCAGCTTTAAACGCTGCAACATCAGGTGTTTTGTCATGTATTACCGTCACATTCAGTCAGTCTGTCTCCTTCATGTTTCTCCTGTCAGCCCTGAGGTTGAGTTAGCTACAGATGTCATAATCTGTCTCTCCCATATCGTCCCAAAAGCCTCGCGTCGTCAAAAACCTAATCTGACGAGACACAAAAAAACGCGTACGCAAACCCACAATTGGCAAATCGCACATTTTATAGCGGTGAACTCTCTCAGCCATAATGACACAGTGTAGCCACAGATGGAAGCAATTACGACGCTGTGAAAATATTTCCCCAAGAATGGCCGTAGTTTTGAGTGTTGCAACAGCGGGACGCAATCACTGACTAATTGAGGGCAAGCCGAAAACATCAATGGGCACTTTTAGAAGACGGCCGTTGACATGGTGAGGGGGGCTTCTTCTTCTCTGCTATCTGGTGCGAGTGTGGACATTTGTTTGGCAAATTTACAGTCGTTGGAAAGCTCTAATTGTTGTGGTTTTGGAGGAAAAGGAAGCGTTTAAAGAAGACAGTGTTTTGTTTTCAGTGAGCGTTTGGAATGTAGAGGCGGAGGAACAGAGACAGACAGAAGCACCAGGAGGTCGACTACCACAGACTTCAGAAGGCCTCTTCCACAGAGATAAAGGCCACGGTGTGGGTTCCCATGATGCAATGCACTCAGGCTGTGTGATGCAGTAGTCCCATCCATTATTCGTCACAGCTGCTCAAAAGGCCATATTTCAACTTTCGCTTTTAGGAAAGTAGTCATAATGGTTTTTTTTTAATTCAGCAGAAAGAATCTAAACCAGCATTGAAAACAAGTCCATATTCAGTCTAGCTTTACGCCACAGTGGAAATATGGTCCCATCAGAGTTACTGCATCTGCTCAGGCCACGACAGGTGAAGTTAGGTACCTCAGCTTTAAGAAAATAACACCGGTAAAGCTGGGGTACCTACATTTTTGTTGTAGACTTGTAAGAAAGATCCTGGGACCTCCATATCTTGATAGTTGGAGGCCACCATTTCCAAATTACAACCTGCAAATTCGGTGCAAACTCTTGACGTCACAACACCTCCCTATAACACCCCACTCGCTGAATGGTCGGATGAGACACAACCGAGGTAACCACAGCCACTAAGATCAGACCCAGACGTACATGTAGGGAAATAATAATTGGCCAGAGTTTACAGAAGACCAGGCTATAAAAAAATTGAAAAGTAACATCACAAGTAACATAAACTTCTCTTCACTTTTCCGTATAAAGTATATTGTTGGCTCCATCTTTTGCATTTTGATCGAGTTGTACTGAAATGAAAAATATTCAAAGCTCTCTTCATCTTGACAAACACAGAAGCCTCCTGTGTATGTTATGCATTTTGTGTGAGACAGCTGCTTACAGATCACTTAAGAAAACCGTCAACATCGAACGGCTGTTTTATTTCAGTGGATTTAAAAACCTTATGCCGGGTTTAAAAAAAAAAAAAATTGTGGATATCAAAATTGCATGACAATGTCGATCTGAAAGAGATTCCGGCAAAAAAAACCCTATATTTTATAAAAAGAATGTGTTTTTCATGAATTTAAGCTGTTTATGCTCTAACCTGTGTGTGACGTCACAGCGGGTTACGCCCATGCATTGAAAACCATGGATCTATGCCACAGGACTGCCTTTTCTCTCTTCTCTCCACTGATGCCCTCTACAGGTGACAATTGCTCACTACACATAAATTGCCGTTTTGAGAGTGAAGAAGTGTCTGAGGTGGGATTTGAACCCAAGTATCTGGATTGACAGTCCGTCGACACAACCACTGGACTATCTCAGTGACAACGAAGAATAACAATCTAGTATTTATGTCAGACTCGCTGTACACGGCCTTGTCATCTTGAATATCCGCGAAAAAAGAACGAATACCAAATTGTAAACAACTTACAGCGTTGAAACGTACCCACTCTGACGTCACCAAGGGCTGTGAAGTTTTTTCGTCTCTAAGGGCGTTGCTATGGGGTTATTTTGATTTGGGGGGATCAGACAAAAAAAACAACAACTGATTTTGAAACCTTTAGTAGTTCTCTTCTAATATAAAATTGTATTAAAACTGTATTTCTAAATAAATCAAACCCGGCATAAGGTCTTTAACATCAACACTGCTCAGAGGGTGACGCTAGTTTTTCATTGAACAGATGAAATTGTCTTTTTATGAGGTCAAACCATTGATTTCTTTGAAGGCTGCATAAGCATCGTAGCAAAACCACAGTTAGAATGATCACACCTTTGCATTGGCTGTAATTGCTTGAAAACAAAAAACAATGTCATGTCTTTCTCAAAAAGCAAAGGGTAAGGAGTGCTGCGTGGTACAAGTGTTTAAAATTATTTAAAAGACCAGGTGCTCAATTGGACGAGGGGTTTAACCTAGTAACCAAAAATTGAGTTTTGACTTTCCAGGTTAAAGACAAATGGTGAAGATCTTAGAAAATCAAAAAATCCAAGGCACTCGTGGTCAATAGTTTAGAGCAGCCATTCCCAAACTCAGTAACACCGAGGCCCCCTTAAAAATCTGACGGGTCTGCGTGGCCCCCCAAAATAATAACCAAGAAGACAACATTAAGAATAGGCTCTTCTGGTTATTTTATTTTGGGGAAATAGCCTCTGCTACAAACATTGTAATACAAAAATGATTACAGTGGATTATTCAAGTCAAATAATGAACACAAATATTTTAATATTACAAACAAAACATTATAAATTTAACATTAAATAATTATATATTTTTTTTATTTTTTTTATGACCTCCCGCGGCCCCCCTGCAGTACCCTCGCGGCCCACCAGGGGGCCGCGGACCCCACTTTGGGAGACACTGGTTTAGAGAGTTTATAAAGCCTTTTCTCGTGGCTGTAGATTAAAATACACACCAACGCGTTTCAGCCTAGCTTGGCCTTCTTCTGGAAAGTCAAAACTCTATTTTTTGTTAACAATGTCGTGTCTGTCGATTTTGAAGAAATCCTCTTGAAAAACAATTCAATTCATTGTATTGTTACACAGCCCTTAAACGCAACAGCAGTCGCCGCTGAGATCAATTCGCCAACAACCGATCAGAGAATACGAGCAGTTGGAACACAGACAATGCAAGAATAACAAACATATAGGAGCCATGGGGCCATTGGGTGCAGCGGGATGACCAATGTGAATAAATGTGCATTATTCTGAATAAATATCCCGGATCGTCGCTGTCTTTTGACCCTCCAGCATCGGCGAAGAAGACAACTTTGTGGTGTATGTGCAGTGAGTAGTTCAGAGTTCTGCTTTCAGTCCTGCTCCAACCCTCACCAAGGCGTCCTCTGCAGCTTGAGCAGTGTTTGAGTTCAGTTAGAAGTGTAAATGTGTTTGGTGAGGGCTTTCACAGCCTTACACAGGATATAACTATATAAAGATTTATGTTTTTAAATGAACCAACTTTTACTTTGACTCATGATTTTTGATTACCTCTCCACACCTTGCCCGCGGACAACAGTTCAACAGTATCTTCGTAGCAAAAAGTGGGAGACAGGCAAAGGAATACAAAGTTGGGTCATTGACAAAAACGATAACGTTTTGTGGAATGTAACTTGGAAAATTTGAGAGTTTTCCGGTCCATTTAGTCCCGGTTTACTCTGTAACCGATACTCTGTCAACGCAGGTCACAACCTGAACAAACTCCAGTCGACCAATCAACACCAGGAGCCTTCGCCTGTGAGTGGAGCTGACATGTCACACTCAAAGCCCGTCACGGTGTTTATAGAAGCTGGTTACTGCAGAGGCGTCCATGCACCGTGCTAACACTATCACACTATCACACAGAGTCAGTCCAATGATGAATGTGGATCAAGATAAAAAACATCTAGATGAAGCAGAACGATTGATTGATTGTTATTGGGTAAGGAGTGGAAGTATCTATGTTGTCATTAATTCTGTGGTGATATTGTTATATTTTCACACAATGTTTTTTATTTTTTATTATTCTTTCGCAAACAAGGGCCAACATTGGTAAATCTGCTTTTTTTCAATACTGGGTTAATATAAGTGCAAATTTCAAGATTCATTGATTTGATTTGTTTTTAAGACAGTTCTGTTTAGCTGTGCTACAACTGAGGGATTTTATATTTTTATCTTTCTTTGTAATGTTCTGTGATTATTTATGATTTTAATGCTTTCTTATTTTGTTCAGCACTTTGAGTTGCCTTGTGTATGAATTGTGCTACATAAATAAACTTGCCTTGCCTTGCCTTTTATGTTATTTATCGTATTGTTTTTCATAGTTGAACAGAGACATTATTGAAACATTCTGTGAAGCAGCTGGTTTGAGCAAATTCTTAATTTCTGTCCGTGGGCAAGGTGTGGAGCTGCCGTCAGGAGACATATTCATTAATAAAAATAGTAACATTTAGGGCATTTTATGAATACAGTATCTACAGAATATTTACCACAGAGTGACAAGAACAAGATTACAGTTTCTTCAGAATAGAGTGAGATTTTTTGATCAATCGGGGGAACCTTTGTAAGGAAGACTTTGGGAAGAGTCTGGGCACATGTCTGCATTTTGTTAACTTCAATTATTTAGGTAAATACATGAGTAGAGTTAGTCTCCACATCGCTCAGGCTCAAACATCATCGCACACTTGAAATCCTGCTTCTGGTTTTCACGTCTGCTGTGGAGAGCGGATTAATTTACGACGGCACACAAACTCGTCGCAGGTTTAATGGCCCTATTTTTCTCCGAGACAAATTCTAAAGTCCAAATGAGAAATGCTGCGACGCCAATCACACAGGAGCAGAGATTAAAATCAATGCTCCCTTCCTCTGCTGCACGGGTCCCTGTGTGGAGGAGGATGAGAAGGAGGCTCCATCTATCTCCGTTTGAGGTCTAAAGGACAGAGTCGGCCCCAAAGTCAGAGAAGTGCCCGAGCCAGCAGCATGACACACCAGTGGGACAGGAGCCAGCCCTGCATGCGCCCAGTCTTCTCATTTAAAGAGGAAACGTGTGATGTTGTGACTAAAGCACTTCATCATACAGGGATCCAAGATTGACCGGCCATCTCAAAGATATTATTGAAAAATAATCCACTCCACTTTGTCTATAGTGCACATTTCATAACCAAACATTATCCAAAGTGCTGCGCAAAAAATGAAACCCATAATAAAGCTAAGCTAAGCTAAGAAGGTCCTGGGTTTGAATCCCGGTCCGACCAGGGCCTTTCTGAGTGGAGTTTGCATGTTCTCCCCGTGTGTGCGTAGGTTTCCTCCGGGTACTCCGGTTTCCCCTACCACTAAAAATATGTACAATAGTTCTGGCATGTGCCTCCTGTACTGGCCCCGCTCCCATCTCTGTGTGGAGTGAGAGACAAATGCCCAAAAATAACAATTGTAAACCGCTTTGAGACTCTGGTCTGTGAAAGGCGGTATATAAATAAAGATTACTTACTTACTTACTTACTAAGATGAAATAAAGAGTACATAAATAATGCAATACAATTAGAAAACTGATGATAGATTCATCCATCCATTTTCTTCCGCTTCATCCGTTGCCGGGTCGCGGGGGCAGCAGTCTAAGCAGAGACGCCCAGACTTCCCTATCCACACACACCTCCTCCAGCTCGTCCGGGGGGACTCCAAGGCGTTCCCAGGCCAGCTGAGAGACATAGTCTCTCCAGCGTGTCCTGGGTCTTCCCCGGGGCCTCCTCCCGGTGGGACGTGCCCGGAACACCTCCCCAGGGAGGCGTCCAGGAGGCATCCGGAACAGATGCCCGAGCCACCTCAACTGGTTCCTCTCGACGTGGAGTAGCAGCGGCTCTACTCCGAGCTCCTCACCCTATCTCTAAGGGAGCAGCCACTCTGCGGAGGAAGCTCATTTCGACCGCTTGTATCCGCGATCTCGTTCTTTTGGTCATTACCCAAATGTTTAATTTATTTTATTGGGCTGCCATTAACAATTATTTCGATCATCGATTAGTTGTTTAGACTCTTTGATCAAAACAAAGGTGATGCCCCCGGAGAACATCTCAATAGACATTGGGTTGTTTGATCACTTTCTAAACACATTTTCATTTCATTCTGCAGTCATTCTAGACATAAAACTTCTCAAGAAGTCCGCCAAGAAAACTAAGCTTTTATTACTGTTTTT